CCCCCCCCCCCCCCCCCCCCCCCCGAGTAATTCTTCCCTGTATTTGAGTAAGTTGCATTGGTAATGAGCTGCCCTTGGTGTCTGCTCCTTCTGTAGAGCAGGGTGGAGGCACCTGCCGCTGGGATAAATGTGCTGTTCTTCCCAGTTGCTGGCGAGGCAGGCGCCTAGGGCAGATCCAGCAAGAAGGCATGCCTCCGCAGACCCGTAGTTAGTTGTGTTTGTGCGTCCGGGGAAGGGAGGGCAAGAGAAGGAACTGAATAGCCAGCAGGAGGTAGGGAAAGACCTCAGAGCCTTTCACCTGCGAGCTGCTGGTTCAAACAGTGCGCGGATGGGCAGCCTTCCCCGTGCAGCAAGTTCGTGGTCTCGGTTCAGTGTCTGCATGTCTGGGTCACATCCCAGCAAGCCGCCCCCAGTGTCAGGACCCTCATTGGGTCAAGGAGCAAACAAGCCTTGGAAGATAAGTTCCTGTCTCACGCCGGCACCTGATTGAGGTCCATTAGTCACCCAGCACAGGGAAACTTGGGGTGGTATTGCATGGGGGTGCCTGTCTCGGGATTAGGGGGGCAGTCTGGCATCTGATGGCTTTAAATGAAAAGCAGGCATGGTTTGCTGCGAAGTGAATACAAAGGGCATGCAGGTAAGTTCCTACAAGGAGAGATTGAAGGACCTGGACCTCTTCAGCATCTGCAAGAGAAGGCTGAGAGGGGATCTTGTGACCAACTATAAATTCATCATGGGGCAGCAAGGAATAGGAGATGCTCCGTTTACCAGAGCACCCCTCGGGGTAAGTAGAAACTCGATGAAGCGCCCACCTCTCAACACCAGCCTGACAGCTTTTCTTTTCCGTTTTCCACTGCAGGATGTCGGGCTCCTGGAGTATCAGCATCATTCCCGGGACTACAGTTCCCACCTGTCACCTGGATCTATCATGCAGCCGCAGCGGAGGAGGCCTTCCTTACTGTCCGAATTCCAGCCAGGGAATGAAAGGTAAGGAGAGTGTCCTGCCCCGGAGCTCCTTGCCGGGTGTCTGCAAGAGCCCCGGCTCTTTTTAGTTAATCTTCACCCAGTTAATATTTGCTTTGAAGACGGAGAGAGCTCTGTAAAGATCTAAGCGATATTGTTATTAGCTCCATGTGTTCCAGCCAAGGTTATTGTGCTGGATCATGCACTAGTTCTCTTGACCGAGCCCCGTAGAATCCAATCCCCGAACAGCTCCGTGCCAAACATGTGGAAGAAAGAGCCTTGTGTGTCCGAGGCTCTTCTGACTGGTTGCGGCGCACGCCAGTGCCTGCCGGGGGTCACGGGGTCTCTGAGCTATTGCTTTGCATTCCCCCTGTGTGCACGAGCTGGAGGAATCTGCTGACTGTCTGGGCTAGAAAACCATAGGGGTACAGGCTGTGCGCCCCTACCCCTAAGCCCGGTTGTGAGCTCAGCCCCTCCAGTTGCAATGAGTGATTACCAGCCCATCCCTTTCACTTAGCTCTTTCATTAGGTACTGGCTAATTTTAAAATAAAAAACAAACACAACCCCCCTCCTTCCCCCCCCCCCCCTTTTTTTTTTAATAACACTTGCATGAAGCAGTGAGTGGACTTGATCAGCTGGGTTGGTTTTTCATCATGGAAAAATGAATGCAGCATTGTTGGTTTTGGCCTTGAACTCCAAGAAGCCAAAGGAAGGAGTTACAGGAATGAGACTTGCCTCTTTCCATTATTCACCTCGGCTTCCTCTTGCTTTGTCCTCCTTCTCATTTCATTCTCTCTGCCTTGCGCTTGCATCTTTCTTTGGATTGTTTCTCCCTGCCCCCACTCAATTTGCCAGCTTGCCCACTATCACAGGCCCTGATAACCCCCGGGAGAGTCTGACGGGGGTCCTCAAAGCAGCTGAAGGAGGTGCTGGGTGGCCAGATACACTGCAGGGACTAACCATTTTGAGAGGCCAGCACTCTGGTGCTCTGTTTCACTGCACTACACCCCTTGCTCCATTTAACAGTTTCTCTTCTGCATTTGATGAGAAGTGGTTTGGGAAAAAATAGCCTGGAAAGACGGTGTGCATCACAGAACAATAGAATTATGCAAAGCAGACTTTGACTCTTTTATTAACAGGCTGGGTCCACCTAAGAATAAACCTCCCCAAGTCACTTGAGCCCTTAATTGTGGCTAGATGCGAACTAAGTCTCTGCTTCTCCAAAACTGGTCATGATCTCGGGTTCTCAGACTCATCCCTTTGTGAGTGCCGTCAGGTGTAAAGCTACTGTTGCACTACATTTTGGCCAGAAATGGTAAAATCCCCTGTTTCTCTGGCATGACGGGGTCTGCCTGGTGATGAGGCAGAAACAAGTAGCGAGGATTTAGAAACGGAAGGCAGGCACCAAAGTTTTGTGTTCGCTGTCTCCATGACGTGCTCGCTTGCGGTGTGGGTTGAATGCAGGCCCCAGACAATCGTGCAAAGAGGCAGTATAATTTCTGATGACTAATAATCCTTCCTTGTGTCTGGCATTGTTTTGACTTGCTCCGAATTCTCTGTGCTAATTTCTCCAGAGGGTAAGGCATCACAGTTAAGCTAGAAGCCAGCTGACCCAGAGGTGTTCATATGAAACCCCTTGACCTTGGAAGGCAGTGGGCAAACAGCATCCAGATACAAACAGCACTGGACTTTGAGTTTTTCTTAGATGCACTGAGGACGTTACATAAAAAGCAGAGCCAACTCTCTCTCATCTTTTTGCCTTCATCAGCGAACAAGCCTCACAACACCTGATGACTCTGAAAGCCATGTGCCTTATATGCTGTCACATGTCCTGCATGACCTGGGCATTGTGGCATCTTGCTCAGATACATCATGCGCTGGCTATTTTTCTTATTGCCAGCCCCATGAAAGCCAAGGCATTAAACAGCATGCCGTCCAGTCCTGGATGCATTTGCACAACCAAATAGCCGCCGTGGGCCTTCTGACCTCTGGTCTGAGTGTCTGAATTCAAACAGGCTCAAAAACATACCGTAGACCATGTCCGTGTGGTATGTGGTGCCTCAGACATGTAAAAAAATAACCAGAACAACAAATTTGGGGGTCAAAAAAACCTGCGCAAAAATAAAGCGGAGCAGTGCACATAGGAGCAGCTGCTCAAAACTGGAGCCATGCTCCGGCTGCCGACCCAGGCTCCACGCGGCAGGATCGCCACTGCTGCAGCCCCAGGAGGCCCCCAGGGCCTTGAGTAAGGCTGCTGGGGCCAGCCTAGTGCTAGTCCTAGCCTCCCCTACTCCACCCGGGGTAGCCTGCCACGTGCCAAAAGGCGCATGGCACAGGCCTTTCGCAGGGACAACTAGCAGCAGCACAAGGTGTCCCACAGCTGATTGTCCATAGGGAACCAAATGTGGATGTGGCCGTAGGTTGAAAATGCTTTGTCATCACCTGTCTTCCCTGTGATGCTAAAGGAGTTAATCTATTCAAAGGGGGAGCTTGATAACAAGTGATAAAATGCAGGTAAGCCAGCAGCTCTGTGCTCCGGAGGGACCTTGTATCCAGGGTTTGGGGATATTGGATATTGCTGATACTGGGCCAGGCTCTCTTTTTAAGGTATTCAGGCACCGAGAGATGCAGAGAGGAGCCAGGTGAGCTTTCCAAAACCCCCTGGCCCCCCAGTAGCTCTGGCAGTCGATCAGACGGCTGTTTCCAGGGTGCATGCAGAGAAGAAGGAACCGCGGGCTTCTGAAAATACCACTGGGTGCCTCGCTCCATCTTTCGGCACGGAAATACCTTTAAAAATCCAGGGCGTATGTTTTGGACCGCCGTGAAGTTCTCTCAAGGAGACGGTCACAGATGCAACCCTTTGGACACTTGCCCTGAAGTTGTTGCACATGCTGCTCATGAACGCTGCCTGCTTGAAGACTGCCCAGCAGCTGGACTGAGCCGTCCGGCCTTGCCCTGTAGCAGGAGCGGGTCAGGACAGAAGCCTGCCCCTGTCCTGGTTTCCCTCACCCATCGGCAAGCCTGGGTCTGAAGTGGGCGGCGGGGGAGGAAGAAAGGGAAGAGGACGGGCATCTAAGCAGCTGAGTGCCCTTTGGCAGGTTCAAGCAAGGCGCACCTGTTAGCTCTCTGGCTTTGTTTCTGGGTCCTGATGGATGGGTTTTGAACAGAGGCAGCCGGGTCTTGGCACGCGGGCGCTGGGGTGGGGGAGCTAGGCACGGCAAGCACAACCGATGCCTTTGGCTGGGAGAAGGCAAGCACAGAAGCATGCTGCGTTTGCAGGGAAGAGGCTCGTCCCGGAGCATCACAGCAGGAGGTGTGAGGTGCTTGCGTCTGGATTTCTAGCTGTCCCCCGACCCCCCCACAAACGGAGGAGAGAAATATGCTCCACATTCCCCGCAGAGGAGTCTTGAGAAAGGAAGCAGGCTGTCTGGCGTTGGCTGCCGCTGTGTCTGACACTCTTCCAGAGCCGCTTTCTCCCCCGCCCCCTTAAAAAATAAATTTGTTTGTAAGTCTAGTGCAAGTGGAAGGTGCCAGACTGACAGCTCCGGAGACGGAGGGCCTGTGTGCATGTTTGCAGGGCAGATACAGCCCTGGCTGATTTCCTCGCACTGCCTGGCCTGGCACGCTTCGCCCCGGTCCAGCCGGGAGCGCAGAATTCATTCCCTCGGGCCCATTCGGCCTGGGTCTCTCCGAGGCTGCCAGCCTGCCTGCCAGCGGGGGTGGCACTTGATGCTGTTGACATTGTCCTCCGGGGAGCCGGGCTGACGCAGCTTTTATTTTGTGCAAAGAAAAAATGTGGGCTCTGCGTAGCAGGAGGTTGAGGTTTTATTAGCAGTTCTGCCCTGAGCATCTACATCGCTTTGGACAAGTCCCCTAAGCAGCCTGCGCTTCATTTCCTCTTTTTGTAAATACTGGTGATGATAATACTGCCCTCCACGGGCAGATAGTGAGGCCTAATCCACCAGAGTTTGTCAGTCCCATTGAAAGACCTTGGGTTGGCACAGGGGCATAGGATGGCACACTGGTGCTTATGGGAGTGCTGTAATTGAGGGCAAGGCAACGGCTCTCTCCATCCTGCCTATTATTGTATTGTTGTCACTGTGATGCACTTCAGGGACTTGGCGAAAGGAGAAATAAGCTGTGAAGCATTTTGCCACGTGGATGCTGGCTCAAATCCGGCTTGGGTGCACAGCGATTGGAAATCGGTCAGTGTTTGGCCGTGGTTTGGTGTCCGGGAGAAAGGAGGCTGGCATGAATCCGTCTTCTGGGGGAGAGATATCTACATCAGAAACCAGCACCGTCGCCAGCCTGGGTGATGGTCTTGCCAGGAAGACCAGGCATGGAGCATGTTGTGCCATGCTTGCTAATGGCGGCTGCTTTGGATCAGGGCTTTGGCCCATTCTCAGGAGAGCTGTGGAGGGAATTTGCAGGAGCCGTGACGTTTCTGATGGGATGCCAGAGGATGGAGTGCTGGACATTTATTGCCCAAGTCTAGAGCCAGTGGTACCTGCTCCTCCATGCCACTTAGCTCCTCTTCTGCTGTGGCACGGTGGTTGTCTTCGGTGGCTGCTGGCTGGTGCCTTTTGGGATGCTGCGTCCCTTGCGAGGCGGACAGGAGTCGTTGAGAGGTTTGTCTGATACCCGTGGAATAAAGAAGGGCTTGCAGCTATTGATCTTCCTAAAGGGCAGACAGCGGGCACAGGAGTTGAATGCCTCCAGTTTGACCTCAGCGGGAGTGCTGTGTCCTGTTTGAGCATTGCATGTAAAAAAAACCTGAACTGGAGAGGATCCAGGGGTGAGCAACAAAATGCTCCAGTGTAGGAATGCAAGCCGTGTGAGGAATGGCTGGAAGAGCGAGGGACGCTCAGTCTGGAGAGAAGGAGATTAAGGGGGTGGGGGACGGGACGTGATACATTTTTCAAATATTTGCAAGGCGGCCATAAAGAAGATGGAGGAGAAGGGATCTTCCTTGTCGCAGAGGGCAGAAGAGGCAGTGGGTTTAAATTCCAGCCGAGTGGATTTG